CCTGGACCGACTCGTTATCTGATGGAGTCCTCTAGCTCGCCGGCTTACAGTAATGTCTTCCAAACCCACAAAGATGGGAAAACAGTTTTTCGCATACCGTTTTATACTGTATGCTTTCATTCCTATTAAACTGGAGAAAAAAAATTGCCCAGATGTCGATACAGTATCTTTGACTGTAGTTTAAAGCGATGGAAGTTACGTTTTAACCGCCAATTTCAACCGTTATGATTTGAACTGCGCCAACTGTTTGGACTAAAGCCACCTCAATTTAGGCACATAAACGGGATTTTAACTGCAAAAAATCTAATTACCGGTAGTTTTATTATTTATATAATTGTTTTGTTCGTCAGTACTCACCATTTTTGTAGGATTTTTCCCCTGCTTTTTTCCGACACTGAAGAATCGGTTGTTGAAGGTTGTAGTGAAAGGAAGAAAGGAGCTTCCAATATTTATAATTTTCTGAGGGGGCGGAGACACAGCGGCGGTTTAAATGTCTTTCTGGCGCGAGCAAACGCTGGGCAGAGGTGCATTCAGGCATGGCTCGAAATATTCCGATCCTACACGTTAGCTGTGTCATCTAAAATAACTGTTTTTAATTTTCGTTCTATTGAACGTCCAGAAACGTTTGAATTAAGATCAGCAATTATTGTTTCATCGTCTAAAAAAGTGTATTATATATTCACCCCATGCAAACGTTTTAGGCTTCTATTTATGTCGGCCCTGAATTGGAAAAGGCATGAAAATATCACACACACAGAGTTGAATTATTTTTTTTCTAATCTCAACAACACACAAGCTGCACATATCCCCATAATTTATACAATATCAAAAGCTAAAACTACTACTACAAGTTTGTTTTCATTGTATTTTTAACCTGAAAGTTACTAGAATACACACAAACAGTCTTATTTGTGATCTCTTAAGTTCGGAAGGCGAATGTAGGAGAAGCACTTGAAGGCAGCATTACTCAAATAAGGAAGCAGGCTCTCTCTCTCTCTCTCTCTTTCTCTCATTCAATTCAATAGCTTTATTCTAATAATAACAATAATAATAATAATTCATTACATTTATTAGAGCGCTCTCCCAAATGCTCAAAGCACTTCACATTATATATTACACTTTATTAGCATTACCATAGTTACATACAGTATTGCTAAAGCTCTGTGCAAAAGCTCTGTGCAACATCTATACACAAATACATACATAAAAACAAACTGCTACATTTTGAACATAAGCAAGAACATTTTATTTTTATTTTTACAAGGAACACACATTCATTCAATTTATATAATATATTAATACAAAAATAAAATGTAAAAAAGATGTGAGACCTGGTGTAGCAGGTCAGTCCGATTCCCTCATACTGTGGCAGGCAGAGACAAACGAATGCAGCTTTCTTTGAGTAATATCTTTAGTTTTTCATTTTCTTTTTTAAATATTTGAGGATGCTTAGGTTTTGGGAAGAATTATTTTTGTACAGGTTCAAATGTTTGGCATTGTGTGAGGAAGTGCTGCTCTGTTTCCACAGCAGTTCCTTCACACTGTTGGCATGATGATCGCTCCTCTTCTGACAGCCATGTTTTTTTGTACCTGCCTGTTTCTATGGCCAGGTTGTGAGCATTCAGTCAGTACATTGTCAAAATGTTTCTGTGTTTAAACTCTGTTGAAGTCTTTCTTTTGTCGGGCTTAACAGGATTAAATCATCTGCATAAAGCAGGAATTTTATCCCTGTTTTGTGAAGTGTGAGACCAGAGGCCTGTACTACGAAGCCGGTTCAACATAACCTGGATATGTTTGAGTTACCCGGTTTACCTGATCCAAAACAAACACGCTCTCGCTAAACGGTCCTACAACGCTGGTTATCAACTCGTTAACTCAAAAGGGGCGGGGTTAGCAACATTTGACCAATCACAAACATGGAGAAGCATACTGACAGCGCAGCGTCATACTTCCTGAATGAAAAGTAAACTATAATATTAGACAAATATGAAGAAGTTAAACTTTAAACATCCATGACTTAAACACTTTATCCAGGATAAAAGCCACATAGTTGCACCTGCAAGTATACAGAACAGCTGGTAAAGTGTTTGAATGCGTACCAGTGGTGGTTCTAGAGTCTAGAGTCTAGACCAATTTGACTGGGGGGGCCAGGCTGGGGCCAGTTACTTTCTGAGGGGGCCACAATAAATGCAGGACGAAAAAGACAAAGACAGTATGAAGTAATTGCGCATAAGAAAACAATGCAATACAGTTATTGCTATTTGTTTTATTACACATTATTATATCAGCCTGTCCTCCTACAAAAAACGACCATATAGGTCGATTATTCAGGAGCTTATTACGACCTAGAGTCACGTTTTAAAGTGTAGCACCTCTAGTGGTCGTGTAAGAAACAAAATGCTCCCGTTGATTGCAAACGCTCCGGAGATTCTTTTATTCACAAATAACCCTCTCTGGAAAATCCTAAATTGTGCAATAGTTTGGCCATTAAAATGCTTTTTGATTAGATTTCTAGCGAGAAGTGTATAGTGTACTTTTATAATCTACGTCCAGTGGATGTGTAGGATCTATAGTTTGATAGATATTACGAAGATGATTTGAGGTCTCGCCAGGAGAACGTGTACTACGTCTTTACGCAGCTTCCATGTAAAGTTAGCGTCAACCCTCACGGGGTGAAAACAGTATTTCCAGTCTCGAAGTTTTCATAATAAAACCGGATGTATTCCCCTCACTGTCAAATGATTACACAGTGATATCTGCATTACTCATCCACTAAAAAACATCAGTTTATCCTTGTTAATTGCACAATATTGATTGGTTTAAATTGTGTACAATGCTTTTGTGTTTTTAACCTTCGATTCGGAGAAACAAATAGTTTTTTCTGAGTTTAGACACTACAGAGTTTCCGAAGACACTACACTACCCAGAATCCCCAGCTATCGTTTGGGACTACAACATCCGCCTTGCTTTACAAACCCCGTGATTAGTCCTCAAGCTCTATGATTGGATGTTGGAGTGGCAGTGCGACAAGGTTACGCCGAGCGTCAAACAGCTCTTTGAAATGGAATGGAACCACGACAGACTATCCAAAACTGGACTTGGACGGGTCCAGTCCAGCCCTCCCCCCCCCCCAGAACTACACATGCTGGCTATTGTGTGTTTCGCAACATGTTCTATGGCACGTCTCTACTGGGAATTGTAATTTTAAAAGACGTTTTCGTATTTCCCACAATTAGAAGTTGCCAGTATCAAACTGTTTACACCCCTGGAGGTTTAGGGGTTACGAAACACATTGGTGTTATCAAATTTAAAACATATAATTAATAAATGGGTGAAAATTGCTTGTGTCCATAATGGGCAGCATTAATATACCCACATGACAGCTAAGGTCAGAAGAGCTTTATTTAACAGCTGGTCTTATGTCTGTGACCCCTCCTGTTGTTCATTGATAAGCCTGAAACATGCACTTGTCAAGGTTCAGAGGCACATTTTGCAAATATGGCAGTAGCCATCGATCATCTTAAGATAAGATAAGATAAGATAAGATATACTTTATTGATCCCAAGTTGGGAAATGTTTTTGTTACAGCAGCATGTACTACTTTGTTCTACTCCACTACAATTCAGAGGTTAACCTGGTATTTTTACTCCACTACATTTATTTTTGTTACTTTGCAGATTCTGATTAATGATGTGAAATATAAACAACCCTTAAATCAGACTTTAGTTACATCTGAGTCAAATTCAGGGAAGATGATTGTCAAGTGCCAAAATAAACTATGCAATATATTAGACGTTAAGTACTTTGTCAGACTTAATATTTATCTGTTGATACCCCCAACGTTTTTTTCTTATTCAAAAGAAGACCTTAACTTAAAGTATTCTTTAATGTTTAAATAAAGCCTTATTAGTTTGTCTGTTTTGCACATCCTCCTGTTAATATCTTTGGACGTCCTGCACTCAACTGTTTTATTGTAGAGATCACTACAGTATCTTCTTGATATTTTCTATTCTATATTGACCTTCTACTTTCCCCCTATTTTGTATGTAGGCTACTCTTAATATTTAAATGTTTTCATCAATAACATTCAACAACAAAATTCAATAACGTGCTTTAACCACTAGGCGGCGCGGGTTAAAAAACCAGTGGTCTAGTTAATAAAACGTAAAAATATCAGCTATTGAAATTGTGATTCCATAGATGTGTCTCCCATCACCCAAAACCCCTGACTATTCTCTCAACTAACTCAGTATCTTACATTCTTTAATTCAAAGAAAATCAGTAATATCTTGAAAAACTACAAGTCCTTTTCTATCAGCTGTGCACCGTTATGGTGTAAATATAACCTCCAATTGGATCAAATATAAAAGTCAGACGAATTAGTGTTGATACTGCAAGGAGACATGTTGTGTGAAAAGAAATTGAAGATGTTGTTTAATTGCTGATATATTTATGATCCACGTCACGTATTCAGTTTCGGCGGCATTTCTTCCAGTTTGTCCAGAAGTCTTCTAATCAGGGCTCTATAAATAAAGAACTACGGCAGATGTGTAATATTTAATGCAGCCGAACCGTGTATTACAATGCCGTTATGTGATGACTTCCAAAGAGAAAAGCAAGCACACTCGGAATAAAGTATTATTTCATTTTTTTAAATGTTTTCCGATTTCATATTGCATAAACACCAAATCCCAACGTGCATTGCGGCTAAAACATCCAGGATTATGGGTAGTTCGATGTTTTAGCCTATCAAAACCTCTGAAAAAAGAAATGTGTCTCAAATTTCAAAAAACAAGATTAAAAGGTTTCTTTATAAATTAACTCCAGTTATTACGGTAATCGTTTCGTTATTTTTTATTTATTTTTTAAATGGTGCTTTGGTTGTACATGATGTGAATTAATCTCAATAAAAATGTGATCACAAAACAAAAGTTATTACGGTAATCGGTTCCCACTTTCTCCACGTGGCTCTACTCTAATGCTTTCGGCCTTTGGAGACTCAACGTCACTTCCGGTCTCTTTGCGTCCTCGCAGGTTTCCAACATGTCGGACGCCGGTGTGTTGGAGACTCTCCTCCTCCGGATCGAGGCGGCGGACGGAGGTGTAGACAGCCTGGAAACAGCCTCTATTCTCGGGGTGGATCACCAGGTCCTCGTCGGAGCCGTGAAGAGTCTGCTGGCCCTCGAAGACGTGAGTTTCCCGGGAGGAGAGGGACACGAAGTCGGTCTGCAACATGATGCAATGTTACTGTCAGAGCTGATGGACTAACGTGGTGTTACATTCAGTCAAATACAACCAGCACAGGGTAGAAATACGAGTAAATAGAATCGTTTATTGTCATTATACAGGTACAATGAGATGAGTAGAGCTACTCCTTTTGTTTAAGGTGCCATGGTGGTGTTAGGATTTAAGTACAATGTGGAGGTACTTGTACTTTACTAGAGTATTTCCATTGTTTTGCTACTTTGTACTTTACTCCACTACAATTCAGAGGTAAATGGTGTACTTCTACACCACTACATGTATTTAATCCCTTTAGTTACTTTACAGATGTGGATGAATGATGTGAAATCTAATCAAGTGTTAAATCAGACTTTAGTTCCACCTGGAGTAAATTCACAAGCTACCCTGCAGTATACAAAGTCATTCAAACTAGCTGCACCTTTACCAGCTTTGAGAACACTTTCATGATCAATCATTATAAAACATATCATATATATTATTCTGAAATGGACCAATCTGCACAATGACTACTTTTACTGTCGCTACTTTCACTATATTTTGATTATAATACTTTTCTACTTTTATTTGAGGAACATTTTGAATGCAGGACTTTTACTGTAACAGAGTATTCCTACACTCTGGTACTTCTACTTGTACTCAAGTACAAGATCTGAGTACTTCTACTTTTACTCAAGTACAAGATATACGAGTACTTCTACTTTTACTCAAGTACAAGATATACGAGTACTTCTACTTTTACTCAAGATCTGAGTACTTTTACTCAAGATCTGAGTACTTATACTTTTACTCAAGATCTGAGTACTTCTACGACCTCTGGTAAAATAATACAAGAAATATGAGGAAAACTATTGCATTTAAAGTGTTTCTTAAGTAAAAGTACATACCTTTGGGCACCTTTTTAAGTACCAAAAGTAAAAGTACTCATGCAGAATGATCATATTTGGAATATTATATAGATTATATCACAGTATTATATTTAGTGATCTATGCATGTGCACATCATTTTTAATTGTGCATCTTGTAAAGGTGGAGCTGACTCTTTTTATTTCCTATTTACATAATAGTAGACCATAATTAATTATTCTCTTTGTATTATTAATATAAACCAGCAAAGTAAATAATAACTAATCATGTCAAATAAATGTAGTGGTGTAAAAAGCACAACTTTGACTTACGTAAATAGCATAACATTCAAATAATCAAGTAAAATACAGGTTCCTCAAAACTACTCAAGTAAAGTACTTAAATGTACAAAGTTATTTTTCTCCATGCAGCAAGCCAGGTGATTATTGGCTGTTGTGTAGGGCTGCACAATTAATCGAAATGTTACTAAACTGCAATGTGGACGAGTGCAATATTGCAATAGCAGAAAGCACTCGTTAGAGGCTAAATACGTCTTATAATATAATTTAAAATAAAGTATTGTGTAGGTGTATATACAGGCTAACACATCGTATTCTACAGATCTAACAAACTAAACATTCGGAGCCTGACAATGTTAATATATAATATTTTCAATGACAAAAATAATTATGATTTTAAAAAAAAAATAAATAAAAAAAAAAAAAAAAAAATTATCAATCCTTCCAATTGCCTGAATCATATCGCAATCACAATATCAGTCAAACATAAATGCAATTAGTTCTATTTTCTACTTTCCTCCTGTGTTGAGTGTTAATCAAATGAGCTGACAGCCATGTTTGTTTCCCTCTCTCTAGTTGATCTCAGCTGAGCTCCGCTCCTCGAAGCACTGGGAGCTGTCGGGGGAGGGGACAGAGATCGCTGAGCAGGGCAGCCATGAGGCGAGGGTCTTCAGCTCCGTCCCTCCGGAGGGTCTGCCCCAGAGCGAGCTCATGGTATATATAGAAATGTATTTATTAGAATAAACCCCTTGAGATGCACCATCTTGTTTTCAAGGGGGTCCCGACAAAAGCAACGTCTTACAGACATGAACAAAATAACAGAAAGCAAAGCATGACAAACGAGGACAAAGCACGTACTGTCTGTTAAAGGGGACCTATCATGCAAAATGCACTTTGTGATGTCTCTTATACATAAATACGTGTCCCCGGTGTGTCGGGGAACTCACGCAGCGTCAGAAAATAAAACCCTCTCTTTTCCTCCGTACCCAAATCTTTTAAAAACGGGTGTACAACGAGCGGATACAGATTTCCATCCGCTGTGACGTGTCCATCCGCTGTGACGTCATAGAGGACCCACAGAAAGTTGCTATCAGAAACAATGCCTGACGTGTTTTGGACGTAATCTCGTCTTTGTTTACATTAGCAAGCCTCGCTAACACTCAGAGCTAACCTGTACTGGAGAGCACATGTGTTTAAAAAAAGGAACTCACCTTGTGATAAACTCGCAAGAGAAAAAGCATTTGAGCTCCATACTGTTTCAGAAATAATCCATGATGTGGTTTAGAACAGGATGGCGTTTTATCACAGCAGAATTTAACTTTATCTCCGGTAGAATTCTGATCAGGCATTAGCTCCGCCTCCTCTTCTTTCTTTTTTTTTTCAAGCTAAGGACCCAAGATCCGCATTTACCTCATTCACACCAACGGTGTTTCAGGGCCGGTTCGGAGCTGGAGCTTGAAAAGCACCGGGTTTTCCTGTTCACACCGCAGCGGAGCAGCCTCTTAGCTCCGGAATCCGTGGTCCACTGAAGAGACCAGCTACCTACTGGGAATCTGGTCTTCCGAAGAGGTACAGAGGAAGCTGGAGGGGAGCACTCGGTCCAAAGCAATTCTCCAACAATTGCAGAAAGAGATGGCAACCGCTGGTTTTTACCGTACCGTGGAACAGATTGGCAACAAATTTAAAAAAAAGTCAAAACCAAAACGAGTAGCGCTTCAACACAATCGGCCATTGTTGTTGTCGGTGTGAGCTGTGAGGGGTTTCCGCGCGGTTTGGCTTTATGAAGCAGTCACGCAAACGGTTACGTCATGACGCAAACGATGACGCAATGACGCAGCACCAGTCGGACTCTGGGCGGTGTGAAAAGAGCCGGAGCTAAACCGAAGTACCGGTTCTGAACCTGAAAAGCTCTAGCACGGAGCTTGAACCGGAGTTGCGTTGGTGTGAAAGAGGTCTAACAGGGCTTCAAAAGAGGGGTTTGAGCAGTATGAGGGGTGGCTACAATGCATGATCTGTTTGGTATTTTGAAAAAAACACTTCACAGACATGTTTTATATAGGTATGGCCCTACAATATATTTTTCAAATATAGCATGATAGGTCCACTTTAAGTAAAATTCATGAAGTAATGCATACAATCATTACAATGTGATAGACAGTAATGTCTAATAGATCGGTTTCATCATCAACAAGAGCAACTGAAAGTGAGATGATAATGCTGAAACATGAACGCTCTGCTGCCAATACATTTTTCTGTTAGGTGGACTGCAGGGGGAATAACAGATAAAATAAAATAAGTCGTTTATTGATCCCAATTTGGGAAATGTTTGCGTTGCAGCAGCATAAAAAGACAAGGCATTGTACATAAGAGAAATTAAAAGACTACAAATAAACAATTCATAATGTAAACATCTCAAATAGAAATAAATAGCATTAAAAAAAATATACAGATCACCTGGAGCAGGGCTGACACGGATGGGGACATTCAGACTGGTTTGGGTTCAGGTGTAGAGGAAAAGGAAATATGGCTCCTTTTCCTAAGTCTTGGTCACCTCTATATATATTATAACATATATATGTATACTTCAGGATATCACTCTACTGTTTGTTAATGCTCTTTCAAACCTTGCTCCTAAGAAAGGGTTCTTTAAATTCCACCTCAAAAGGAAATAATTGAATATCTACATTCAATATAACGATAAGTCAGTCCACTAATCGATTCATGTTCAACATTTACATAATTAAATAACTTGTTGTTTAGCTTGTAGTTTCTATCAAGGTTCTTTATTTGTCAAACGAACATAGCTACAGTGTAGTTATGTCGATGAAAATCTTGTGTCACAGGCTTCTCCAACAGTGCAACACAAAACACAGATAAACAGAAAATATAGTGCAAGTAAATACAAGAAGAATATAGTTTAAAAAAGTGAAATAGTGCAATAAGAGTCTATATAAAAGTCATTGAAATATGATATATTAGGTAAATAGATACATCATTCTTAAGTAGCAGCCAGATGAATGTTGTGGATGTTGTTTCAACAGTTCAGGTGTTTAACAGTCTTATGGCCTGTGGGATGAAGCTGTCCCTGAGTCTGATGGTTTTAGTCCGGATGCTACGGTACCGCCTGCCAGACGGCAGCAGACAGAACAGTTTGTGGCTGGGGTGATGGGGGTCTTTTATAATCCCGAGGGCTTTCTTCCCGAGCCGCTGGGAGTAAAGGTCCTCCATGGATGGCAGCTCCGTCCTGGTGATGTTCTGTGCAGTTTTCACCACCCTCTGTAAAGCCTTACGGTTGAGGGCGGTGCAGCTGCCGTACCAGGCCGTGATGCAGCCAGTCAGGATCCTCTCTATGGTGCACTATCTTTCCTAATGTTAGGATACCTTTTTGTCGTAAACTTAAAATCGTACATCTCTATCAGACATCAGTACAAGAACGGAAGCAAAGCTGTGGAAGACAACAAAACTTAATTTAGCTCCTTAAATACTCTTTAAAAACCCCAAAATCCATATTGGCCCCTTAAGAAGCCGGGCCAATAATGGCGCGTTTCCACTACACAGCCTCGCTCGGCCCCGCTCGGTATGGCTAGGCCTCGTTAGGACTGGCTCACTTTATGGCGCATTTCCATTACAGTTTAGGAACTGGGGTAGTATCGTAGTATCTATAGTAACGCAGTGTAGGCGGAGCCGTGACGTCATCTTCAATGAGAACCCCAGAAAAACAACACAGCCGTTAGCTGTGAGCACTCAGAGCTCACAGCTCCTCATATATGTTCAGAAACTAGACAAAAGTTAAACAAGTACAAACCACAGACTGCCTGTGTCATGGTGAATACAGTCGCTGCTTTATTTATGTCTGTATAGGCCGTTGTTGTGAGTGTGGACGGTCGGAGCATATACTGCGTTAGCTTAGCCAATCTCCATTTAGAAAAACACGCATTTTAAAAGGTTTTTTCGCCTGCCGTCTGTCTGCAGACTTGACAAAGCATTAATTCATGGTTTTTACTAACCGGTATCAGTATGTTGTTACTTCGGCATCATTTTGAAACGTGTATTACAATTAAATCACGGTCAAATATGTCCATCTTGTTGTAGTTGTAGCCCCCTTGCCAGCGACGCTCTCTCTAGTTTAGCATACTCAGCCCGACTCAGCCTCGTTGTCTCTGGCCCTAGACCCACGATTTTATGAGGCCAGAAAAACTGTGAATTAGGACCCGCCGGCCGGTACTAGGCCAAGTGGAAACGCAACCAAAGACGGGCCGCTGACGTCACAGCCCTCTTAAACCGTGCTCCGCGCTGTAGTGGAAACGCGCCATTAGATTAGCTTTGTGGTGAAAAGCTCTTGCATGTCATCTGCTTATGGAAACATTTACAGGCATAAAAACTCATTTCTTGACATATAATTTTACTTTAATGTTTAATGTTGTTATTCTTAAGTGTTTTATATTATCAGTAACACTTCTGTTTGTCCCCGTGCAGAAACTGTCCTTTGGGAAGATCGGCTTCAGCAAGGCCATGTCCAACAAGTGGATCAAAGTGGACAAGACTCACGAGGGCGGCCCGAGGATATTCAGGAGTGTACGTTTTATATCACGTCTTTAATTATTATCATGTCCTTTGTGTGGTCGGCAGTCCCCATTCTGAACTAAGACGTGTATGTGTGTGTGCAGGTGGAGAATATCGAGGACCAGGTGAGAGACAAACTGCTTCTGGTTCAGAAAGGAAACACCTCTCAGCTGGAGGAGAAGGAGAAGAACGAGCTGAAGAAGAGGAAGCTGCTCTCTGAAGTGTAAGTCCAGGGTTGCGGTCGAATTGTCAGTTTAGCGTAGGAACCTTCCTAACGGAGTGAAATGACCCGGAAGTACCTCAGTGGCGGCCATGATAAGAGCTGTTCGAATTCTCTAGTCTAGATGATAGGAAAGGAGCTTTGAAACTTCCTTTATAACCTCTTTTAGCTTAGGAAACACTGGACATCCTGAAATACTGAAATTAATATCCTAAATCATAAATACGTCGGATAGTGTAAGTTCAGTCGGATTCTCAAAGCACCGCAGTCTCTTTTCCTAAATCCTTTTGATTTCTCCTATCCACTATTCCCTAACCCCGTGACGTTTCACACACAGAGGTCAAGGAATAGACGATAGGAATAGACGATAGGAGCTGATTTTTAAACTATTCGACTGCAACCCACCTCTCACCTCCACACACACACAGCTGGTGACTGTGTGATTCTCCTGTCTACCACCAGGGGGCAGTAGAGGGTTTGTTATGGCTGCTCTCCACATCTCAGCATGAGCTTTGGATCATATTTGAAACGGCAATTCAACTAACAATGAGGTGGTGGGAACAGAAGTGATTGGAATTTTTTTTTGCCAACATTTGTTCTGTGACTCCTGTTGTGTTGTACATACAATCTGAAAGTATTTAGTAGCAGAACCAAGCACAAACCATTGATGTTGACAAAACGCCATTGTTTCACTGAAATAGCGTTAAAATCACAAATGCCCTTTAAGAGTCTATTTTTAAAGAAAATCTATTCAAGCTGTTCTTCATTTCCTAGTTTTAAGGTGTCATACATACAAGTGTATCTTACAGTACATTTGTGAGATCTCTAAGCACACATCAGGCTCGTTATCAACATTTCCTTGTTTCACCAAAACAGCCTTAAGCGTTAGTTTGCCAGAAATGATACTGACCAGCGCTATACTGCGCTTTGTGAATGGTATTGATGTTTGGATTTCTTTTACGTGTCTGTGTTTAGGACGGTGAAGTCGTACTGGATCACTAAAGGCAGCTGCTTCAGCACCACCATCACCAAGCAGGAGACAGAGCTGACTCCTGAGATGATCGCCAAGTGAGTCCACTTATTTTACATCATGCTTCTGTCGTTTGTTGATGACATCATGAGGCGTCTCCTGTCTGTCCTCCTCTGTCTGTCAGTGACGGAGGGTGGGACCTCAGACTCAGACGCAGAGAAACATCAGCCCTTAAAAAGGGGACGAGTGCAAAGACTTGGACTCTGTCCTAAAGGCAGGGCAGGACAAAATGATTGTGACCTAAAAGGAAAGAAAATGATGACATGTTGTTGACATAAGGTTGTTGTGCAGGATGTAAATTAGCATTAGCATTAGCATTAAATTGACATTTTTACGTCTTGAATTGTATACTGATGTTCATTAACGTGCACTGTCCCTAAATAATAAATGATGTTATTTATATTCACGGTTGTTGAAAGGATCAGGACAGTTTTGGACGAAATATTTGAGCTGCTTTTCTGATGATAAATGAATGCAGACAAACAGTTGCTTTGGATTTTTAACGGCCCGTCCACACAGCAGCGTTAAAGAAATCTTGGAGGTGGGCGTATCTGAAGCTTGGGGATTTTTTGCGAGCAAGGCACCAACAACCAATCACATGAATCTCCCGCCCCCCGACATACGAAGCAAAAAAGCCCGAAGTAAACTGGATATAAACTCCCCAAACAGGCGAAAACCTACCACTGTCTCTGCCACCTCCCGCCATGCCTGGCTCCTCCGGTTTGTATCCCGGTAGGTAAATCGGGACTGGTCATAAAGCACCGGGTGATTCCCTACCGCTAATTTCTCCTCCATGTTTTGGAATATGAGGAAATGACCTGTGGTATGTCTCTCCCAGCATACACGCCGTTTGATTGGCTAGCGCTTGAACTGTCAGATTTGCATACACGGGATTTGATTGGCTGACGCTTCCACCTCAGCTTCAAAAGTTGAACATTGCTCAAGTTTGAATCCTGAAAATCTCCGCTCTGCTTCCCACAATGCAGTTCGGCGAAAAGTGAGGCAAAGTGATGTCACCCCATTCAAAGTGAATGGGCAGAAGCGTTCCAAGATTTTTTTAACGCTGCTGTGTGGACGGGCCGTAAGAGTTTTATTGACAAAGCTATCCTTACTTTCCTTATATACGTAGTGACATACTCAGGAATGAGAAATAATACAAATATATTTAATAACCAGCTTAAACAGTTTTCATGCTGAGGCTTGTCAAATTGATTTAGCACTTTTCTAAGTACTCTATACTTAACAATAAAGAAATGTTTAATATGAAAGGTAATAATGTTTTGCTAATACAAGCAGGGATACAATGGTTTTTGAATAACAGAATTCCAACCTGCCGTCTTATCCTTTGTTATTCCTTGTGTTGTGTTTCAGTGGCAGCTGGAAGGAGAAGAAGTTCAAGCCGTATAACTTCGAGGCCCTCGGCGTGGCCCCTGACTGCGGACACCTGCACCCTCTGATGAAGGTCCGCACGCAGTTCAGACAGATCTTCTTGGAGATGGGGTGAGGGGCCGTCAAAAGCACATATAGCACAGATACATTTGATGCATTAGAACAGGGTGTCCGCGGGGTCCTAAAAAGTTGATAAATCAATTTAGCGAAAATGAAGGCTATTAAAAAGTATTAAACGGCATTTTCCAAGGTATTAGATTTTGTAGCTTGTTTCCAATAAGTATATAAATGGTCCAAAGAGGTTGTATTCTACAGTCTGCCTGAATGTAATCATTGCGTAGGTGTGTAGTGTGATTTTGTGTAGTTTATTTATGGCATCCCGTTGGATCTGACGTCATCTGAACAGGACATAGCACGCTCACTGCTTGATAGCGCGAAGGTCCGTTTACGCCGGTTGTTAAGCAACCTCGTTATGGGGAAATGCAAGTCTGCGTCCAAATGGTTGGAAGATAAGGAGGAAGGACAATCAATACTGTATATAGTCAATGTGAGGTAAAGTGTGTCGCCAAGGTAACCGGTTAAAACTCCAAGTGGCGATGAGGTCTTAAAATGTATGGAAAGGGTCTTAAAAAAGGTCTTAAAAGGTCTTGCATGTGACTTCAGGATTCCTGCATATACCCTGCTACAGCACAGATACATTTGGATGCATGCACCCTGAGTAATCTCCCAACATTACCCGTCTGTGCTTCCTGCAGCTTCACAGAGATGCCGACCAACAACTTCATCGAGAGTTCCTTCTGGAACTTCGACTCTCTGTTTCAGCCTCAGCAGCATCCGGCCAGAGACGCCCACGACACCTTCTTCATCTCCGGTGAGTTCTACATTTCTGTCTCCTGGTCCTGATGCGCTGACATTCAAACATTCAAGATTTAAAGGCTTCATTCGTCAAAGCTGTGGCGTAGTTGGTGGCAATGAACATCTTACATTTTCAGACCCTGCTCTCGCTCATGAGTTCCCACTGGAGTACCTGGAGAGAGTGAAGAAGATCCACTCAGAGGGAGGATATGGATCACAAGGGTGAGACTTAATCATTCAAATAAATCTGCTTTGAACTTTCTGCCAACAAAGCCTGTGATATCTTTTATTCAACGTCTCTCCTGCCGTCTCTCAGGTATAAATACGACTGGAAGATCGAGGAGGCTCAGAAGAACATCCTCCGAACGCACACTACAGCCGTCAGCGCTCGCATGCTGTACAAGCTGGCACAACAGGTGAGACACACACACACACACACACACACACACACACACACACACACACACACACGCGTACACACACACACACATGTTTAAAGTTTTCGTATCATAGAACACCATCATCTGTTTCTTCACTGCATCTAAAGTCATCGGAAGCAAATCCATGCAGCCAGGTTTTGTATTTGTTATGTTTTGTTTAGACAAAAACAAGATTTTATTAATAAAACCAATGCAAAGACGCCACTAAATGAAACATATGCCCAAAATGTATTGATTTGTTGTAATGATTTTTATTTATTAATATAAATGATAAGTATTTGGATGAAGCTGTGTCGCACTATCAGGTCGCATTCACACCAGCCTTGTATAGTCCGGTTGAATCGAACCCTGGTGCGTTTAGCTGCTTGGTGCAGTTCGTTTGGGTCGGTGTGAACGCAGTCCGAGACCTCTGAAGTGAACTAAACAACTGGACTCTGGTCCGCCTAAAAGAGGTGGTCTCCGAGCGCTTACTAGTGAACTCTGGAGCGGTTCATCGCTGGTGTGAACGCAGTCCGCACCAAAACATAGGAAGCGTAGTATTTACGCGTCACAAGAACGCGGATGTCTTCAAAATCGTTAGTGAAAGAGTGAAGCAGAATGAAGTGTTGAACAGTGTCGTGTAAAGTAAAAACAACTATCAAACTAAAAACTATACATAAAAGTCAGAGCCACCTGCCGTCGGTGAAACCCCCCCTCCTGACTGCAGAACGTCTCTCATTATATGTGTTATAATGTTTTCTATCGCACGTTGTCTGATTTTATTAAACGGACAAGTCAAATCAAGCAATCTGATTGGTTCTTAGCCGTGATATACTGAGCGTATACCACGGGTAGAATTGTAAGTTACTTTTCACAACAAGTCAGTATCCCTCCGCGTCTGAGAAAAACAGTATACAGTTGGGCTGAAAAGCAAACTGCTTGCTTCGCGTCGGGCCGAACCACGCCCCTTAACTGTGATATAATGGCCATATACCACGGCCTGTCGTGAGCTATTGCTTAAATATAATCATATGCGCCGTTGCTAGAATCTGTTGATCTCCAGATTAACAGCAGCATGAAACAACCTGCCGATGCTCCATGGCGGAGGCTCCGGTAGAAATTGCCGGGATTTGCGTTTTTACCCCCTTAATGTCTGACCAATGGTTGAACAGCATTTCCGAGCACATGACTTGTGTTTAAAGTTTATAGTCTGTTTGAATTTTGCCCATGTGAACGCAAACCAAAAATGAAACGATGTAACAAACTGTCGTCTGGTGCGCACCAGAGAAGCGGACTATTAGGTGTGAATGCGACCTCAGAGTAAAGATTCTCCCGACGTCTGTCGAAACTTGTCATAAGCCTCTAAAATGCCAGTTATGTTGTACATGTTATTATATTGTATATTGTTGTACACGTGTTGACATTAACCACGAGGCTCTTCTCTCTCTCTCTCTCCTTCTCTCTCTCTCTCCCTCCCCCCCCCCCCAGGAGAAGTTCACCCCCGTGAAGTACTTCTCCATCGACCGGGTGTTCAGGAACGAGACGTTGGACGCCACTCATCTGGCCGAGTTCCACCAGATCGAAGGCGTGGTGGCCGACCGCGGCCTCACGCTGGGAGACCTGATGGGCATCCTGCACCAGTTCTTCACCAAGCTAGGTCAGCACGGAGGAACCAATGAGAACATTTCAATAATCAGAATCAGAAAATCAGAAATCCTTTATAGAGTGGTGCAGTGATGACTTTTGTAGGCCGACCCAGAAGTAAGCTGCTGGTTCCCTCGACAAAAAGCAACGGGATTTCTCCATAGGATTTTGGAATATTGTAAAAAATAAGATCTGTGGAAAACGAAGCTGTTTGATAAATGCACGTTTTGTTCAGCCGGATAATCTCCACATGTCTACCCTACTTTTATAATTTTAGAATCATAAATCTAATGGCCAGATGCAAAATATATCGTTATGCTATAAAGGAACTACAGCCGAGTCCAGCAGCACGACTTCAACGTCACGCCGACTTAAGATCCATATTCAAACATACAGATTCTAAATGATACAAGTTGAAGCGTTTGTTTGAACAGTTTGCAGGAGGCAGGTACTTGCTTTCAAGCAGAACAGGGGCAAACAAACTTAGCGGGAGTGTTTACTGTTCGGCGTAATGACGTACAACGACCTCGACAACTTCTATAGTCCTATTCAGCCACATGTTAACAACCATCGTTTTTCAGACACGTCAACTCTTCAGAAATCACCAGTGGGGTCACTGCTGATGTATTTAATGTCGTAGAACAAAACGTGATCCGTCTCTTCAATGTGTCTCAACCACAGACCTTATTTCCAGCTATTTTCCTAAATCCTATGGAGAGATCCCATTGGCTCTGAGACGAGGGACTAATAAAGGTTCTGATGAGGCATTATGAGGGAAAAAAGTTCAAAATATGTGTAGTATTGCTTCACACTAGCTCTGTGTTAGGAGAGGAATTGAATACAAATGCTGATAATTGCATTTTTTCCGAAGTGTTTTTGACACTTTGACCAGTTTTGCTAGTTCATTATTGTGTCTAAACTAAGCCATGTGTCCACAGAGTGTCTTTTTGTATGAATCAAAAAAGCTTCCAGGGTTTTTAAAACAATATCTCTATATCTAGCTTTGCACGTCAGTTTTTTTATCATTTATTTGAGCTGTTTTATATTTGCTTGACATGTTCTTTTCACCAGTAGCAGCAACAGGAAGGTTCTTGCTCTCTCTTTCTTTATGAACGAGGCACTTATGTGGACACGGGTTAATTGTGTTATTTCAAACCACAGTCATTTGACCTCTTCCTTGTTCTTCTTCTTCTAGGAATCACTAAACTGCGCTTCAAGCCCGCCTACAACCCGTACACAGAGCCCAGCATGGAAGTGTTCAGCTACCACGAAGGTACGGTTCAAATCCTCGAGACCATTGACCCTCTTTTAATCTCTGTACACCAGAGAGTTTAGAGAAACGTTTAGAAACTTTGTCGGTTCGATTTGAGTCATTTGAGGGTTTTCAATTCAATTCTTTTGTTATTTTCTATTTGAAAACTTCTGTAACTTCTATCTATCTGCTGTTTTGTTCCACTGAATGTTTATGTGTGATTTCTCTCCTCACACACAGGACTGAAGAAGTGGGTGGAGGTGGGGAACTCGGGGGTGTTCAGGCCGGAGATGCTGCTGCCGATGGGTCTCCCTGAGGACGTCACTGTGATCGCCTGGGGCCTTTCTCTGGAGAGGTAAACTCTATATTAAATACTCAATGTTTCAAGGCTTTTATTGCCATGTGTGCATAGCTACAGTGTAGATATGACAATGACAATCTTAGGTCACAGGCTCCTCCAACAGAGCAACACAATAAAACAGACAAAATAGTGCAAGTAAATAAAATAAAATGGAATATAATAGAAACAGTGCAGAATAGTCTCTATACAGTAATTGGAATATTGATATATATAAGTTGCAAACAGATGAATTGTATGGAAGTTCAGGTGTTTAACAGTCAGTCAGAGAGAGAGAATACACACTTACCTGCATGTGTGGGTGTGTTTGTGTAAACTATGCGTCATTAATCTCTTTAATTGTGAGGATTAAAGGTGAGTGATTCAGGCTGAACGTCATCCGCCCTCTCACTCCTCACACTCACATCACTCCTGACCCACATCTCACACATTTAGGTTTCTCAGACTCTGAAAACATTTTTTTTCCACAGGGGAAATTCGATCTTGTAGCTCCATTTTAGTTTGTAAAATGTAATAAAATTCAAATATTTATAGAAACATAACAATTTATTGTAAAATGTGGACATATTACAACAATTATAGCGACGATAAATATGTATAAATGTGTACTTTACAATACATTAAGTTGTGGTGTATTATTATTATTAATAATGATTTTAAAACAGTTTATTGCTTAAATGTACATCATAAATCAGTAATAATCCCAATTGTATTGCACAGTTGAACAGTACATTTTTTTTATTGTCTGAAAAAAGGATTTTGTTTAACCTAACTTCCACAAAACTCAAAGTTTTATTCTCAATTTTTTTGTAAAGTATACCTCACCATAAAGAAGTAATTTCATGGTCACGTTACTGCTGATTGTCAAATAGACTTTGTTTAAATATAGGTATATAGAGAGGTGCATGGATGACGTATTTTGTAGGCCGAGCCGGAAGTTATCACATGGTCCCTTCAGAAAAAATCTAATGGGATTTTTCCATTGGATTTTGGAATATTGCAGCAAATAATCTCTTTGGCAAACACGTTTTGTTCAGCAGGATTATCCACATATTAACACCACATTAAAAAGTTAATGTTGGGCTATAAAGGAACTACAGCACGGTCACATGACTTCACGTCACCACCGCTAAGCTAAAGGTGGCTAATTTTGGGCTATAAAGGAACTACAGCACGGTCACATGACTTCAGAACACCACCGCTAAGCTAAAGGTGGCTAATGTTGGGCTATAAAGGAACTACAGCACGGTCAAATGACTTCACGTCACCACCGCTAAGCTAAAGGCGGCTAATGTTGGGCTATAAAGGAACTACAGCACGGTCACATGACTTCACGTCACCACCGCTAAGCTAACGGTGGCTAATGTTGGGCTATAAAGGAACTACAGCACGGTCACATGACTTCACGTCACCACCGCTAAGCTAAAGGTGGCTAATGTTGGGCTATAAAGGAACTACAGCGCGGTCACATGAGTTCACGTCACCACCGCTAAGCTAAAGGCGGCTAATGTTGGGCTATAAAGGAACTACAGCACGGTCACATGACTTCACGTCACCACCGCTAAGCTAAAGGCGGCTAATGTTGGGCTATAAAGGAAATTACATAGCTAATTTACTAATGTTAAATTCCCAAATTATGCTAATGGCTCTCAGCTTTAATACTTTCTTATTCTTTTAACATTGAATTCAACATCATAATTTAAATTAGAAGTGACTTCAAGAGTTCTAAAATGCTAACCCATTACTATACCTGGTTTTAGGACTCATTCCTACACCTGTATTAGAGATTTACTGTAGGACAAAAAACCTGTAGCCTCTCTAAGCTACGCTGAGTAATCCTTTCATCTCCCTCTCAGCCTGAGTTGTTTATCTCTCAGACTCTGAAATAGACTAGACTCTGGCCTCTGTTGTGGCGGCGGCTGCGTAACAACTGTTTCTCTATTTCAGACCCACCATGATCAAATACGGCATCAACAACATCAGAGAGCTGGTGGGACACAAGGTGAACCTGCAGATGGTCTACGACGGGCCCATCTGTCGCCTGGAGTCCTGAGATCATCGCCATATTTATCATTTACCTTGTTGACCCCGGGACATTTTGAGGTCAACCTCGGCCAATAAAAACAGTTGGCCTGAAAGCAAAAAATAGTCTGTTTTTCTCCATTCATCATTTAAGACGGACCTCAGGAACCTTCTAACACCCAGGAGCTGCCTTTGTATGAACTCAGTACTCCGTGTGAGGCTAAGAACAGCTGCTTTTTCTATTGAAAACACCCCGGTTACTACAGAGAGTTAAATATGTGTACAGCATATGATGGAGTCGGAAGAAGGTACAATAAAAAGCTTTTTTCCAGAAACCATTACAACCTGTCTTGTGAGTCCGTGTTGTAAACATGATAACTAGAGGAGTTTTTTATCTGGCTTTTTAGGTAAAGGTTATATACCAGACACTCTTTTGACAAGTTGTTTAAAGGTAGGGTAGGTAAGAATGGAGAAACCAGCTCGAGTGCGCTAGAATTTGAAAATACACAACCGGAACAAATCTGCTCCTTCCTTCAGACTTCCTTATAGAGCCCCTCCTCCAACACACACGAACGCGCACATGACCAATGAGGGCACGAGATAAGTTTGTGCACAGATGGAAGGCTGACAGGCAGGTAGGCCATCCAGTTATTTTAGCCGGGCCGGCTCAGATGATTGGTCGTGCTTTTTACAGCGCCACGGGTTCCACAGATGACATTTTTTTATGTATTTATTTTCAAAGCATTTAATATATTCATTGCTATCGGGATGTTAAGAGCATTCCATGGAATATAACAAGTGTTTCTGAAGGGAATTACCTACCCCACCTTTAAGTTGTATTCCAGGTACCCAAACTCTAACTTGGTTCTGAATACCTCAAAATGTTACTTACTCATGCCAACTAAAAGTATTTTTTAAATATTTTCTAAGCGTGATGAAAAGTCTACGATTAGCAACAATGCTAAACAGCTAACTTGCTAATGTTAAAAGTACAAATTATGCTAATGGTAGTAGCAAAAAAAACCTTTTTAATGTTTTTTTTTCATTAAACAAATCATAATTGAAATGTATAAGTGAAGTCATGATGTAGATACATTTTAGAATTAAATGTATTGACACATATAATATAAAATAGGTTTACCTGCAAAGAAAATGGTATACAAAATTTGAAATGGATTTTCTTAAAGCTGCCTTTTGTTTTGACCAATAAGTAAGATGATTTTTGTATTCACTTTTGCTTTCTAGAATGTGAAATGTACTCAAATAGTAAATTAAAGCTTACTGGAAGATTTGCGCTAATACAGATTACTGAACATTTGTATATACCGTCGCACTAAGTTTGTTGTGTCTGGAAAGAAGATGTCTTTGTTTGTTATTTAGGGATTACAGTAAACCTTTAATAGACATTGTGCGACACCTTTCATTCAGTTCTTATTATAAATCCAAGTAAAGTGCCCTGTATCTGCGCCGGACTCGAGTTCAGAGATAGCTTAAATTAACTCATTAAGCTCTGAGAACTGACCTGACATCGGTTAGACAAGAGTTGTAAATTAAAAATAAATCATTTCTTGTTTTTCAAAATAATCAAAACTTTCTAGAAACTTTTCCTGAATTCTGGATTTTTTTTTGTATTGATAGTAGCTTTAAGAACAAGTCAACGTCCAAGAACAAAAACTACAAACTGGTATTAAATGGGAAATTAGCCGACTTTCCTAGCATGACACACACACACACACACACAATGTATACATCACTTCAGGGGACATTACATTGACTTACATGCATTTCCTGGAGACTTATCCTAACCTTAACCATAACCAACACATGCCTAACCCTAACCCTCACCCTAACCCTAACCCTAAACCTAACCACCCTAAAATTAATGATTCCCCTCATGGGGACCTCCATTTTGTCCCCATAAGGGAGGCGAGTCCCAACACGTGACTGTGTAAACAGATTTAGGTCCCCACAAGTATAGTAATGCTAGGCCACACACACACACACGTTTTTGTGCTATAATCAGCGCTTCTATAGCTTCTGTATTTCCACACGGGGGGAATCCACCTGCGCGCGTGACACCTGCATTAAAGGGTCGCAGGATTAAGTCGTGTTGTGTACACGCTCTGAGTTTCTGGAACTCTGATAAGTCTTCGGCCTTAAACTAATCCCTCGGTGTCTTGAAATAACTTTTTCCCGAAGTGGGTGACACAGGTTGGAAGTGGCTTTGTTTACTACAGATAATGTAGAAACCTCCATCAAGAGTCTGACCTTCTTTTTGCGGAACATTAGGAGCGATAAAAAACAGAAAAGACACCAGTACTTTCCACCAAAGATACGTTTTATACTCGGAAAGGATACAGATTTTCCTGCTGACGGTACAAAAATCAATCTCTCACACTGAATAAACATTAGCTCCAGTTTGATATTGTCTTACAGCCACTTTCTACTCTTTATTAAACTGCTTTTAACACATTCATAACCCTATGAAACAGAGGCACACACAGACAATATCCAGTGACCTTCCCCAGTAATCCCATTTCTCCTTCGGTTCCCGTTCTGAGGAGACTTTTCCCTTGATATAAATGTGAGCAAGAGTCTTAGGTAACGGCACAGAGTAGTCAACATAAGACTGCTGCTGTGTCTCAATTTGTGCATTTCTGTACTTTTGAGTGTATAAATGCGTCGCATAACGGTCCAAATTTGAGTTTGGAAAGCTGGATACTTCCCACCCTCAACGACCGTCTTGGCTAATAGCAGAAGTTGCGCGACTAGCCAGAATTGCGTCTCTCTTCTGAACACAGCAATATACAAACAAAAGTTAATTCACTATTTTATATGTGCACCACTACACTGTTGTCGAAAAGAAGCCACTATTATTTTTGGGGGGTTTATTGAGCAATCTGTTATGATTTGCTACCCAAACGATTAGGTTTCTAGCTAGCTAGCTTACCGGGTCATAAAACGAAGTGTACAAATACAAATTAAAGGTTTACATGGTGTAAGAAATTAAAATCAATGTTTAAATGACGTCATTTAGATTAAACATACTGTAAGCTTAAAACGGTTTTATTCTGAAAATACTTCATTTCCGGTTAGCATTAGCTTGTGGCTAACGTTATTGCAATATGGTCTAGCTGCGGCCGCGGCAAGTACACGACACTATAGAGTGGCGAAGTCACGCCCATCTACTTCCGCCCCATGGGACCTTATTTCGGAAAAATAATGTATTGAAGTCAATGGAGAGAGACAACTTATCTTTCGATCCCGTTTGAATTGTGCCATGAATTACACATATGATGTTTGTCAATCTTAAAAAATCATTTCCATGTCAAAAAAGTCACAGTTTGTCGTAAAACTGTTGAAATATAAGACTATGAAAAATACGCAACTAGAAAGACTACAAATCCCAGAGTCGAGTAAGTGATGTCACAATTGTTTTCCTCCACTAAGAGATAGCTAAGATCAGCGCCATATAGATATAATCTATCTATATGGCGCTGGCTAAGATAACTTTAACAAGATGCCTGTGTGCTTAGTACCAGGTTGTTCATACCAGCAATGGGTCTTGCTCGTTCTTTCGCTTCCCGTCTGATGAAAGGACTAGGAGTGTCTGGATCAAGCTAGCTAGTAGCTAGCACGTTAGTTAGCATTACAGCCGTGTCATTTGTATTAGCCTTAACATGAAGTAACATTAAGTAACCCAAAATGTTAAACAGTAAGAGTAGTAGTCATATTTCGTGAACCCTTTGAAGAGTACTGTCACCGGTGTGATCATTCTATAATACACAATGTAAGCCCGGGGGAGAAATGCTAACGCTAACGTTAGCATCGGCGATCTTCTCTACTTCATGCTATCTGCACAAATGGTTGACATTAAACATTAAAACGACCAGGCAGTTCAGAGAGAATCAAAGGAAGACAGGCAGGCAGCTTTGCATGACTTTCTTCAGGACGTGTTTCATTGTGGTGATAGTGAGGGTAGTCAATCGCTTTGTTGACAAGACAGTAGTGACGGCCATCTTGGTGACGTGTGTTGTTCTGTGAGACCAGAGATGTAGTTCATTGAGCGTTTCACACAAACAAATGTGTTACTTCACAGTTTTACGACACTTTTTTTTTTTTGACTTGCAAAATTATCTTTTAAATTGACAAACATCATATGTGTAATTCGTGGCACAATTCAAACGGGATCGAAAGATAATCTTTCTCTCTCCATTGACTTCAATACATAATTTTTCCGAAATAAGGTCCCATGGAGGTCCACCGGAAGGGGAGGGACTTCGCCACTCTATGCTGTTTACAATGACGTCACTTCCGGTTTTACGTTAACAATGATTACAGCCGTTAAAATGCATAAAATAAAAAGTCATGAATGAGAATACGAGGAGAAAAGGCGTGTGGAGTTATACAATGAACACACAACGTCTAAATCCTCTGATTTACGCGATATCAGACACAGAAGAACTCGAGGAGGGAGGACCCCCTTTCGTCAGAGCCGCCAATGAGAGGAGGAGCCAGGATATTAGCTCGCTCCACGTAGAATCGCTCTCTCTTCTCCCCTCCCTCACGAACATGGCACTTTGTTCCTGATTTGCTCTGTCTGTTTCAAAACCACGTTACTTTATTAAATTACCCATTTGAACCTTTTCGAGACTACATTGTCTCTTTTTAACTTCCTCCTGGTCTCGAGAACAACGATCACGATCTTCAATAGTCACCTGTTTCTCAGACATATGAAATTAAAATGTTTATCAAAAAAAGTTATATTTAAACATCCAGAGGGATATATTTAAATCACCACAACTGTCGTAAAAAAAATGAAGACTACAAATTATAAATAATAACCCAATTGGCCCTATAGATGCTTATATATTATTTATTCTGAATAATAACGTTTGGGGTAACTATTTGTATTATTATTATACGGGAACATGCTCAACTTCCATGTGTACAGATGCAATGTACCAAGAGAAGTATCCAAATTGAGACACAGCGCAGGTTTCTGCACGTATAGAACCCATCTCTTATCAGCCTCATCAATGCTCAACCAACACAAACTGGAACTGTCTCATATGCCGTAATCCCAACAATTGGTTGCCAAGTCATCAAAGCTTTTTTTTCACGCTCACAGTCCTTTCCCAAACATCAGAAGTCCTTCGGCACGCTGAGCTCCCTGTTGGGCCCGGGGCTGTTGTTAAAAGCCACATAGTTGTGAGTCGTTGGGATGTGAGCGTGCGGGAAGAACGATGGGATGTATGGGATGGCAGACATTAGGTTCGGGCTGGATGAGGAGCTCTCGATGTAAGGAAAAGAGATCTGAACCTCGCCCTGGTCCCACACGTGG